TAATCCCCGCGGGTTTCCCATCACCAAGTCACCTGTGTGCCATCACCATAACCTCGTGCACTTCTTTCCCCATCCCCCCGTTTTTGATCCCATTCCCCACTCCACCCCCACAAAATGTCTCTGGTATATGGCTGTTCATTATTCTTGTTATTTTCTCACCTGGTCCATTATACTTCTGCTATGAGTGAAACCATCTGCATACCGTTACTCTTTAGCCCAGTCTCACTATACTGTCATTTATGCCCTGTAGCCAAATAAGACATTTTGGTAGATTTCAGTCAGTATATTTGTAACTCTATCTTAAATGCTCTTCTCCTAGATATTGCTATGCTTACTGTTTCAGTTAATTCATGTGTCCACTTCTTAGAGAGCTCTCCTTACTTTCTTATCTAAAATGCTACCCTATACCCCAATTCTCTCTCCCTTTAGTCAAATTTAATAGTTTTTATGGCTGTTATCAGCATCCCAGATTATATTGTTTTCATTTCACTGCTTATTTGTCTGTCTGTCCCTCTTGAATGTATGTTCTTTAAGGTTAAAAAAAATTACATCTCTTCAGGATCAATGCCTAGAACGTTTCTATATATTTTAAGTTTCAGTAAATATTGTTAGCTAGATGGATGAATGAATTTAAGAATAGATCCTTAACCAAAAAAGTCCTTTTTTCTATTGTGAATCCAAGAATGTGAGTAGAGATTTTGTTGTAAGTGAACTTGGTTCTGGTTTACAGAAGACCTTTAGTTTCCACTCCCTTCATTCCAACATCAATTCTGGTACATTCAGTAATTCAGTAATTGCTTATTGGTGTGCCAGAATTGAATGGAAAGGCTTGATGTTCAGTATAATAGCAAAGGTAAAAGTCTCTTTAACTATAATGAAGTTATCACCATTGCTGGGTATTTTCACAGCTCAGCAAAGGCTTTCCTTGTTTATTATTAGTAGTCCAAAAAGTTATAGTCAAAGTGAAAATAAGAAGTACATTAATATGTTTAATGTTAGTCTGATTCCTCTAAGTTTTGGAATTGTTCCTTCTGTAAGTTGAAACTGGAAGTATGACAAGTCAGCTTTTTTATGACTTGAATGTCTTTGGTTTCATTTCCTAAGAGAATTAGGTAACTTTCTTTGTGATCTTACCAGTACAATGATAAGACTTCTCTTACTTGATCTTAACCTCAAGAACCCAAATTCTACTTTAAAAAGTTAAGGATACTTGGGTGCTGGTGTGCAGGAGCCAGAGCTGTTAGCTCTGAGAACACAGGCAAGTATGTTCTCAGATCCTCTCAGTGTGCCTCTTACTAGCTACCAGCTGCTTAGCCACCTGTTATTTTCTTGCTCCGGGAAGATATTTCTGCTCTGAACTTTTTTTGTATATCACTTCTACAATTGATATTCTTTATGTCCTGGTTGCTCAGAACTCTATTATAGACCCTCTAATATTATAAATAAGTCATTTCATGTATCTTTAATGTGCTACCCAGTTTATTTTTATTTCAGCAAATTTATTAGCAGTAAAACCTTCCTTGTACACTGGGATAGCAATAGGTACTTCTGGTGTTTTAGCAAATTATAGAACAGATGTATTAAGGGAACATGAATATTAATTTGTGTGTCAAACTACAAAGATAGATATTCTCCTTAAATATGGCAGGGGCAGGAGAAGGGATGGGAAGTCTAGAAAGAATAAAATTATTTTCATAAATAGTGGTTATCGACGAAGTACACTGCTGAGGGGAGCAGCGGGCTGGTCAGGAGAGGTCTGCCACGCCATGTGGTCACCTCTGGGGCAGGCGGGAATCAAACTCATGCGGAAGTGGCTTTAGCTTCTCAGTGCAGTGCTTTAAACCGCTGCGCCACCAGGAAGGGCCAAAAGTTGTAAATTTTAATGAAGCTCAGGACAATGGATTTTAATGTCTTAGAGAATGAAGAGTTCATTGGTATAGTTTTAGATTTTATATTTCAGTTAACCCTTTATCAGTTGTAGAGTTTTCGATGTATTATTATCTGAAAGAATAAATTATTCTTCCATTTCCTAGTTCCACATCTGTATAAAGCTGGATTATTTTATATGTCAAACTCAGCTGCTTACTGTCAGCAGGTTGAATGCAAAGGTAGATAGAAGAATCCAACTGTCTTTTATTGAGCCAAACATTAGAGAGATTTATAAAAATGTAAATCAGTAGTCTTTATCTCATTACTTTTTTTTTTAAAGAAACAGTTGTTTTTCCTAAAAATGTTACTCATTTAACATGTAGTATGCTTAATGTTAATTTTAAGGGAATATAACAGATATTTACATTTTTCATTATTAATTTCTAATGTTGTAAATATCAATAGCTTTAACTCAAACAGGAGTTATTTAAGGTCATCAGTTTTCAAAAATAAAAGGTTCTTGAAGTTAAAATTAAAAATTGAGGAACATCTACTTTTAATTTAACATGCTAATTCAGAGTCACATAAGACATTGCTTATAGATCTACTGTATTGTTTTCTGATTTTCGTATAAATTAGTCTGTACTAGACTTAGTTTTTGAAAACAGAAGTCATATATTTTTGTTTTATTTCCCAGATGGTCAAAACTCTGTATAAGTACCCAGTGAAGACTTACCAAGATTTAAAGGATTTCCCATTGAATAAATGTGTTAGGGCAGTGTTTACAGTGTTGGCTTTAATATAAATAGCTTTATTTTTTCGTTCAGGTGGAAGAACACAATGGTCACATTTTTAAAGCTACCCAGTATAGCATCCCTACATACTGTGAGTACTGTTCTTCTTTGATATGGATAATGGACCGAGCCTCAGTTTGTAAATGTAAGTGTGACCAATTAACCAGTTGAAATTTCTGTTTTTATGTTTCTTATATATTTTTTAACATAAAGGAGTAATTCATACCGTTTCTCTTTTTTTTTTGGCTTTGTTTGATTTTTTCTTGCCCCCCTTCCGCTTCAACACGGTTGTGTTTTTTTTATTTTTTTGAAATTTTTTTTATTTTATAACAATTTATTTTTACATCATTTTGTACATTTTTTTTTCCATCTCAATTGTAATCCCCGCGGGTTTCCCATCACCAAGTCACCTGTGTGCCATCACCATAACCTCGTGCACTTCTTTCCCCATCCCCCCGTTTTTGATCCCATTCCCCACTCCACCCCCACAAAATGTCTCTGGTATATGGCTGTTCATTATTCTTGTTATTTTCTCACCTGGTCCATTATACTTCTGCTATGAGTGAAACCATCTGCATACCGTTACTCTTTAGCCCAGTCTCACTATACTGTCATTTATGCCCTGTAGCCAAATAAGACATTTTGGTAGATTTCAGTCAGTATATTTGTAACTCTATCTTAAATGCTCTTCTCCTAGATATTGCTATGCTTACTGTTTCAGTTAATTCATGTGTCCACTTCTTAGAGAGCTCTCCTTACTTTCTTATCTAAAATGCTACCCTATACCCCAATTCTCTCTCCCTTTAGTCAAATTTAATAGTTTTTATGGCTGTTATCAGCATCCCAGATTATATTGTTTTCATTTCACTGCTTATTTGTCTGTCTGTCCCTCTTGAATGTATGTTCTTTAAGGTTAAAAAAATTACATCTCTTCAGGATCAATGCCTAGAACGTTTCTATATATTTTAAGTTTCAGTAAATATTGTTAGCTAGATGGATGAATGAATTTAAGAATAGATCCTTAACCAAAAAAGTCCTTTTTTCTATTGTGAATCCAAGAATGTGAGTAGAGATTTTGTTGTAAGTGAACTTGGTTCTGGTTTACAGAAGACCTTTAGTTTCCACTCCCTTCATTCCAACATCAATTCTGGTACATTCAGTAATTCAGTAATTGCTTATTGGTGTGCCAGAATTGAATGGAAAGGCTTGATGTTCAGTATAATAGCAAAGGTAAAAGTCTCTTTAACTATAATGAAGTTATCACCATTGCTGGGTATTTTCACAGCTCAGCAAAGGCTTTCCTTGTTTATTATTAGTAGTCCAAAAAGTTATAGTCAAAGTGAAAATAAGAAGTACATTAATATGTTTAATGTTAGTCTGATTCCTCTAAGTTTTGGAATTGTTCCTTCTGTAAGTTGAAACTGGAAGTATGACAAGTCAGCTTTTTTATGACTTGAATGTCTTTGGTTTCATTTCCTAAGAGAATTAGGTAACTTTCTTTGTGATCTTACCAGTACAATGATAAGACTTCTCTTACTTGATCTTAACCTCAAGAACCCAAATTCTACTTTAAAAAGTTAAGGATACTTGGGTGCTGGTGTGCAGGAGCCAGAGCTGTTAGCTCTGAGAACACAGGCAAGTATGTTCTCAGATCCTCTCAGTGTGCCTCTTACTAGCTACCAGCTGCTTAGCCACCTGTTATTTTCTTGCTCCGGGAAGATATTTCTGCTCTGAACTTTTTTTGTATATCACTTCTACAATTGATATTCTTTATGTCCTGGTTGCTCAGAACTCTATTATAGACCCTCTAATATTATAAATAAGTCATTTCATGTATCTTTAATGTGCTACCCAGTTTATTTTTATTTCAGCAAATTTATTAGCAGTAAAACCTTCCTTGTACACTGGGATAGCAATAGGTACTTCTGGTGTTTTAGCAAATTATAGAACAGATGTATTAAGGGAACATGAATATTAATTTGTGTGTCAAACTACAAAGATAGATATTCTCCTTAAATATGGCAGGGGCAGGAGAAGGGATGGGAAGTCTAGAAAGAATAAAATTATTTTCATAAATAGTGGTTAGAAATTTTAGGCATGTTTTCAACTTATTTGTCCAAATAGAATGTATTTTTTGTTACTTTTTTATTCTAATGCCATATAAAGTGTGTGTGTTTGTGCATTGTAACAGTCTGATTTAAAGAAATATGTGTCTAGAATACAGCTATAAATTTGTTAATTGATATGCAGACTTCTAAAAATACTGCATTCTTAATCTGTTTTTCAGTATGCAAGTATGCTTGCCATAAGAAGTGCTGTCTAAAAACCACAGCCAAATGCTCTAAAAAGGTAAGAACTTGACCTCTATGAATAATAAATCACAAATCTGTTAGTATTTTGTGCCTCAAAAAGAATCAAATCTCTTGATGGATTAGTGCAGTGGTTTTGAAACTTTTTGACCACAAATCACAGTAATAAATACATTTTATTTTATGATATACACACAGAGGGATAAGTATATTTAAATGATAGGATTTTACTGGGTAACTATATTTACCTTTTCTTCATGGGAGCTACTAAACCTTGGTGATTTTATCACAAAAATATTTACGGAACACTGTGCTTTTAAAGTTCATATGTCTTCAAGCACTTATAAGTCTTCCTAAGAACTGTCTTGAAGGTGGTAAAGTATAATTAAAGATTATATTTATTTGACTAGCAAAATTTATCCCCATGTTGAAATGTTTACACATTTCTATTTGGATAGTAGATATTAAACGTGAATGGTACCTTGCCACTCAAAGAGGAAACCATTTTTGAAAGATTTCAAACTTTCATTGATATATAATCACATTTTTTTTTTTTTACTTCTTAGTCACATATTGACAATTGTAACAATTCTTTACAAATCTGTGCTATAACATATGTGTGTGTATTGTTTACAGCCTCTTCATAGAGTTTGCATCTATTTCAAATCATGGTAAAATTTACAAAGAGAAATTTAATTAGGGACTTAAAATACAATGAAGATGATGAAACACTTGCTTCCACCTAAATGGAGTGGCTTGTGGCAAACTGATACTCCTGCTGAGAACAACTGAAAAAAAAGTTTGTTACCAAACATCAAAGAACTGCTGGGCAAATTATACCTTAGGAGACCTATATTCTACAGTGAACACAACTGTAGCTTTGTACAGATTAGTGAGATAGTTTTTCTCCTACTAAGAATTTGTCAATTCTTGTAGGGCAAGAAGTCAGACTTCTAGCCAAGGGGCATATTTAAGAGTGTAAGAGCCAGGGAAATTTTTATTTGATAGAACTCTTAAGATACAAAAAGTTGAGTTTGGAGTTCCCGGAACTTGAGCACCTAAGGCATTTTCTGAATTCTTGTACTGGAGTTCCCGGAACTTGAGCACCTAAGGCATTTTCTGAATTCTTGTACAGAACTAAGCAGAAAAGTAGAATTAGAATTTTTGTAGTCTCACAGTGCTAATGAGAGAAAAATTGAAATCTTACGGTCCAGTTTTGGTGAGGGAACCTGGTCAGTATCCTGTCCTCTTAAGGAAAGAGGGTGAACCATTGGTAATTTCACTCGGAAACCATATATTGTACAAAAATGAAGAATAATATAATGAATATATTAACAAAATAAATAAAAATTCAATGTTTAGTTTAAAAAAAAAAAACACTGCAAACTTCGAGGCAGCCATTGATTGGATTAAGTTGATCTATTTCTCATTTTAGCTACCTACAAGGACAAAGGATGAGCCTTCTCAAAAAAAGAGAGATGACAATGTTCAGAGCCTTTGTAAATTTTTCGTATGTAATATGAATATAAGAAATGACACTAAGAGAAAATCAAATAAGCATTATCATCATTATCATCATATCAGTATCATATGATCCAGTTACTGATTTACCACACATGCTTTAAAATTTTTTAATTTATATGTTCAAATAACAGACTTTTATCAGAAAACTGACATATATTTTAAAATATCAGTGAGAAGTCTAAAAATTAATAATACAATTGAAACAACAAACTCAAAAGATGGAGTTAGCAGCATTATTGGCCATAAGAGAAGATTGATGTACTGAAAGACAGGCGACTCAAAATATCAGAGCATGGAATAAAAAAAATGGGACAATATGAATGAATAAAATATAATGCATCATAGAAAGGATCTAGAAGAGTAAAAAATTCATAAATTACTGACAGAGTGTAAGTTGGTCTAACTATTCTTATAGTATTTGGCAATATTTATCAAACCTAAACATAAGCATTTCTCATGACTCAGCACTACTACTCCAAAATACATCTACAACAAATATAAAAGAACATATTAGCACTATTTGAAATATCCCCACAGTAAAAATGCCAAAATGTATATTAGTAATCAGAGTTAACATAAAAATATTTGTATAATGGAATATTATATAGTAGTAAAATCAGACCCTTTGAACTCACAAGCATAAGTTTGAACAAAAGTAGCCAGAAACAATAGTACATACTACATTGCTCATTTAATAAATTTTTTAAATAAATGAAGATAACTCATTGTATACATAATATAATATTCAAAGGCATGTAAAATTAATGTATAGTATTAGAAATACAGATACTAATTTATGAAATCATTCAGTATCAGTTTGTGAAAAGTATAGTACCTGAGAAGATCTTGAGGGAAAGTTTAGACTCCTGGTTATATTTTATTTCTTGATTTGGGACCTGGTGACAAGAGTATGTATGCATTAATAAAAGTATCATGAAAAATAAACAAGAGAGTTAATTTGGAGGGAAAATGACTATGAAACATTTTTATAATAAAATTTTCCATTTGTAAGTAATAAAATTAATTTTTAAAATTCTAACAACAGGATTTTAGCATGGTTGCTTTAGGTTGGTTTGTTTCAAGCCAAATTATTTTAAAGTTTTTAATGTTCTCAAATATGTGTCTGTTTCTTTTTCTCTATGTATGTCTTAACATTTTTAATGCTCTAGTTATAGCTATAACATTTAAGTAAATATATTATGTGTGCATGATATATATTATGAAATATATTATGTGTGTCAGTATCAATGAGAAGCTTAAAGCTTGATTAAAGTTTATTTTAGGGGCTCTCCCTGGTGGTGCAGTGGGTTAAAGCACCGCATTATGAAGCTCTCCTAAGCCACTGCAGCATGAGTTCGATCCCCTGCCAGGGAACTGAACTACGTGGTGTGGCAGACCTCTCCTGACCCACACGCTGCTCCCCTCAGCAGTGTACTTTGTTGATCTGCCTGTTCTGTTCCCCACTCTGTCTCTGGTGAATCCTCTCACCCACCACACCTCTGGCCTATACCCCAGTTCTGTAAGCATAAATAAATAAATCTTAAAAAAAAAAAAGTTTATTTTAATCATTGCCGTGAACATTATTTCATTTTCTTAATAATTTATAGAGCATTTACCATATATGAAATACTCTACCGTATATGTTCATCTATAACTCCATCTATAATAATAATCCTCTGGGATAGGAAAAGCATCCTTTTGTTGCAAATATCAAATAACCTAACTTCATTCTAGTGGAAATTTAAAATAACCTAAACAACCTAGCTTCATATAACTAATGATGCAAGATTTTAGAATGTACCCTCTGAAGAGTCTAAGAACTATCTTGGACTTAAAAAGAAGTACTTTTCAGAGATATTGCCTTATGTTAGTTAAAGATCAATTTGCTGCAAAATGACTTGCAATTCTTTTAAGAAATCCAGTGTTGGAGTGCAGCATATATGTAGGTGAATGGTGCATAATAAGTAAAACTTGCATCTTCCTCTACTTAAAATTCTCTACATAAAATTCTCTGGCATCTCTTACCTTTCAGGACAAGACCTAGATTCTATAACTTCTTACCCAAAGCCCCTTTATAATCTTTCTCTAGCTTGTTTTTGTTTTCTTTAGGTGTATCAGATTATTTTTCATTTGTTTTGCCCAACTTTGTAGTTTATAGTTCTTTGTTTCCTGTGTCTTTTCTTGCCTTCTTTATTTTATATACTATTTGCTTTCCAACTCTTAGGTTAAGCAACAGGTTTTTTCAAGTTTGTTTTAATCATTTCAGCAAATGAGTTACCCAAACCAGTCCTTTCTGCTTCAGCTATTTCACCTCTGTGGTTTCCTAACACTTAATATACTTGTTACTGTTTTACTTACCTCCACATACTAGCACTAGTAGTTTATCATTAATTTTAGGATAAATGTTATTTTTTATTTTCCTCTTACCTATGACATAAATGACATGTTTAGAATAAAACTGGGAAGAAAAATTACTTACAGTCAATTCAGGTAATATCTTGAATTTTAGACGCAGGAATGTTTGTATCCTGTTTTAATATATAGTAATTAGACATTGATAGTTTTTGAGAATAATAAATGGATTTTATAGACAATAGACTATATTAAAAGTAGTTAAAGTAGATATGGGAAATTTGTCAAGAAATTGATGGAATTATCTAAGTGGGCAGTGATAAGGGTTTGAACTAGTTTGAGAACAAAAAAGAAAAAATGGGGTATACTAATTGACTCAGATCTTGGGACTGGATACAAGTTGAAGGAGAAAGTGAGTGTGTAGTGTTGGATTAAGGAAGAAGAATTATATAAGGGAAGGAAAGTACAAGAAAGATTTGTAAAAAAGGTTACAGTTTTCAGAGCTAATACCTGGGATTTTCCCCTTTGAATTATTTTAAATAATCTTAAGGTTAAGCACATCTGTTTAGCCACATAACTTCTATATATTTAGTAAGCTGTGATATCAGATCCACTCCTGAAACCAATAAAAATAGAACTTAGATCACTAATCATGGATCAGTCTGCCTTTAACTGTTGCCATCAATGTCCAGTTAAACTTCCCTGATGTTTACATAAACATCAAAGCATTCTTATGTTTTAGAAATTTTTGACAGTCTAATTCATAATCAAATAATAGATTTACTAAATATAATTGGTAGGTAAATGTTCAGCATACAAAGTCTACACCCTCCTTGTCCCTTGCCCAAATGACACCTTTACATTGAGAGATTTTTTAATAAGGGAAATAGTACTGTTGCCACAAAACAGTACTGTTGCCACGAAACGTTAGTTTAAAATACTATACTTCATTAAGGAGTATATTTTTACACTTACTTAGGTGTATATTACCACCCCATACTCACCACCAAAGCACCATAATCCTCTTGTTATAGTCCACTGGCACCCCTCCTTTCTTTATTCCCCATCACTGTTGTTTGCCTCTGATAGCCTCAATTCTACAGTCAGATTTCTAGGGTTTGTTTTGTTTTAGTTTTGTCTTGTTTCTTTATTTTCTATAAATAAGCAAAATAATGGAATATTTTTTAAGCGAGTCAGTGTTGCTTTTACAACATTGTATTTGGGGAGTGTGATTTCCTTCTTCCCTCCCTCTCAGGTATGATTTGCCTTTTCCTTTCTGATATACTTTGTTTGCAAAACCCCCTCTGGTGACATCCATGTTGGCTCAGATGACAAGATTTCATATATATTTTTTTTTTTTGAATAGCTGAGTATTACTCAGGCTTATGCATATAAGAACTAGGGTACAGGCCAGAAGTACAGAGTGAGGGGGGTGTGCTATGAGAGAATTCACCACAGAGTGGGGAGCAGAACAGCTAATTGACTGAAATACACTGCTGAGGGGTACAGCAGGCAAGGCAGGAGAGGTCTGCCATGCCATGTGGGTCACCTTCCTGATGGGGATTTGAACTCATGTTTGCAGTAGCTTTGGATAGCTTCATAGTGCTGTACCACCAGGCAGGTCCAATATATCACATCATCTTAATCCACTTATCTGTCACTGGGAGCACAGCTTGTTTCTGTGACATGGTTATTGTATTGCGGCAGTTATAGGAATACTATATTTCTTCAAATTAGTGTTTGTGCATTTTTTTAGTAGTTACCTAGATTGGAATTGCTGGATCATAAGGCATATCTATTTTTAACATTTTGAAAGACCCATAGTGTTCTCCAGAGGAACTGGACCAATCTACATTCCTACCAACAGTGTATGAGGGTACCTTGTTCTCTACCTTTGCAATAAAACTAGCTGTTTCTGGTCTTTTTGATATGAGCCTTTCTCACAAGAGTGAGGGTGATACCTCATTTTGGGTTGTGACTTCATTTTCCCTGATAATGAGCATTTGTGTATGTGTGTGTGTGTGCACCTTTTAGTTATCCGTATGTCTTATTTGAAGAAGGGTTGTTTAGCTTTTCAACCCCATTTTTTGTTTGGGTTGGTTGTTTTCATTTTTTGAGTTGGGTAAGTTTGTATATCTTAGCTATCAGCCCTTTGTTAGATGTATTATGTGCAAACATTTTCTGCTATTTGGTAGGGTGTCTTTTCATTTAATGATACTTCCTTCACTGTGTAGAAGCTGTTAGTTAAATGTAGTCTCATTTGTTTACTTCTGCTTTTTTTAATCTTCTCATTAGAGTTGAGTCCCCAAAGACATCTCTGAGGCTAATGCTTCATGTTTTTTTTTTTGTTTTTTTTTTTTGGCCTGTTTACTTTTACGTATATTATGGTTTCAGGTCTTAGCTTCTTAAAAGTAGTTAAAGTAGATATGGGAAATTTGTCAAGAAATTGATGGAATTATCTAAGTGGGCAGTGATAAGGGTTTGAACTAGTTTGAGAACA